ATATAGTTTACACTAGTGGGTGACAGCTTAAACCAGTGGGAGACAGTTTACACTAGTGATAGACAGTTTACACTAGTGGTAGACAGTTTACACTAGTGATATATAGTTTACACTAGTGGGTGATAGGTTACACCAGTGGTAAACATTTTACACTAGTGGGAGACAGTTTACACTAGGAGACAGTTTACACTAGTGGGAGACAGTCTACACTAGTGGGAGACAGTTTATACTAGTGATATATAGTTTACACTAGTGGGTGACAGCTTACACCAGTGGTAGACAGTTTACACTAGTGGTAGACAGTTTACACTAGTGATATATAGTTTACACTAGTGGGCGACAGCTTACACTAGTGGTAGACAGTTTACACGGGTGGTAGACTGTTTACACTAGTGATATATAGTTTACACTAGTGGGTGACAGCTTACACTAGTGGTAGACAGTTTACACGGGTGGTAGACTGTTTACACTAGTGATATATAGTTTACACTAGTGGGTGACAGCTTACACTGGTGGGTGACAGTTTACACTGGTGGTAGACAGTTTATACTAGTGATATATAGTTTACACTGGTGGGTGACAGCTTACACCAGTGGTATACACTTTACACTAGTGATATATAGTTTACACTAGTGGGTGAAAGCTTACACTAGTGGTAGACAGTTTACACGGGTGGTAGACTGGTTACACTAGTGATATATAGTTTACACTAGTGGGTGAAAGCTTACACTAGTGGTAGACAGTTTACACGGGGGGTAGACTGTTTACACTAGTGATATATAGTTTACACTTGTGGGTGACAGCTTACTCTGGTGGGTGACAGTTTACACTGGTGGTAGACAGTTTATACTAGTGATATATAGTTTACACTAGTGGGTGACAGCTTACACTAGTGGTAGACAGTTTACACGGGTGGTAGACTGGTTACACTAGTGATATATAGTTTACACTAGTGGGAGACAGCTTACACTAGTGGGAGACGGTTTACACTAGTGATATATAGTTTACATTTGTGGGTGACAGCTTACACTGGTGGGTGACAGTTTACACTGGTGGTAGACAGTTTATACTAGTGATATATAGTTTACACTGGTGGGTGACAGCTTACACCAGTGGTATACAGTTTACACTAGTGATATATAGTTTACACTAGTGGGTGAAAGCTTACACTAGTGGTAGACAGTTTACACGGGGGGTAGACTGTTTACACTAGTGATATATAGTTTACACTTGTGGGTGACAGCTTACTCTGGTGGGTGACAGTTTACACTGGTGGTAGACAGTTTATACTAGTGATATATAGTTTACACTGGTGGGTGACAGCTTACACCAGTGGTATACACTTTACACTAGTGATATATAGTTTACACTAGTGGGTGAAAGCTTACACTAGTGGTAGACAGTTTACACGGGGGGTAGACTGTTTACACTAGTGATATATAGTTTACACTTGTGGGTGACAGCTTACTCTGGTGGGTGACAGTTTACACTGGTGGTAGACAGTTTATACTAGTGATATATAGTTTACACTGGTGGGTGACAGCTTACACCAGTGGTATACAGTTTACACTAGTGATATATAGTTTACTCTAGTGGATGACTGTTTACACTAGTGGTAGACAGTTTACACTAGTGATATAGTTTACACTAGTGGGTGACAGCTTACACCAGTGGTAGACTGTTTACACTAGTGATATATAGTTTACACTTGTGGGTGACAGCTTACACTGGTGGGTGACAGTTTACACTGGTGGTAGACAGTTTACACTAGTGGTAGACAGTTTACACGGGTGGTAGACTGTTTACACTAGTGATATATAGTTTACACTTGTGGGTGACAGCTTACTCTGGTGGGTGACAGTTTACACTGGTGGTAGGCAGTTTATACTAGTGATATATAGTTTACACTAGTGGATGACTGTTTACACTAGTGAGTGACAGCTTACACTAGTGGTAGACAGTTTACACGGGTGGTAGACTGTTTACACTAGTTATATATAGTTTACACTAGTGGGTGACAGCTTACACCAGTAGGAGACAGTTTACACTAGTGATATATAGTTTACACTAGTGGATGACTGTTTACACTAGTGGGTGACAGTTTACACTAGTGGTAGACAGTTTACACTAGTGGTAGACAGTTTACACTGGTGGTAGACTGTTTACACTGGTGGTAGACAGTTTACACTAGTGGTAGACAGTTCACATTAGTCGGTGACAGTTTACACTAGTGTGTGACAGTTTACACTAGTGGTAGACAATTTAAACTAGTTGGCGACAGTTTACACTAGCGAGTGAAAGGTTACACTAGTGTGTGACAGTTTACACTACTGGTAGGCAATTTACACTAGTGAATGAGAGCTTTCACTAGTGGGTGACAGTTAACACTAGTGGATGACAGTTTACACTAGTGAATGACAGCTTTCACTAGTGGTAGACAGTTTACACAAGTGGGTGACAGCTTACACGAGTGGATGACAAGTTACACTAGTGGGTAACTTCTTTCACTATTGGTAGACATTTTACACTAGTGGGTGACAGCTTACACTAGTAGTAGACAGCTTACACCGGTGGTAGACAGTTTACACTAGTGGTAGACAGTTTACACTAGTGGGTGACAGCTTACAATAGTGGTAGACAGTTTACACTAGTGGGTGACTGTCACACTAGTTGTAGACAGTTTACACTAGTGGTAGACAGTTAACACTAGTTGTTGACAGCTTACACTAGTGGGTGACTGCTCACACTAGTGGTAGACAGTTTATAATAGTTGATAACAGTTAACACTAGTTGGTGACAGTTTTCAATAGTGGGTGACATTATACAATTGTTTCATGGCTATTTGGGGAACAGTCAAAACTATCATCCCGAGGTAGGGAGAAGCCCTGTCAAACAGTTCCACCGGGCTTCCCCCTACGGAGGGATGGTAGTTTGGACTGTCACCCAAATAACATTGAAACAATTGTTTTATTACCAAATACATATCAGTATCAATGCTGCATGTCATGATGACTCGCCATTGCATCGCTTTGTCTGCGTAAACAACACTGAGTCGCGGTCATCGAAACGCTCGAACAGGGCTCTCGAGGGGGGATATCTGCGCATCAAATTCGCGCCGGGTAACAGTTCGCTTTGACCGGGAAAACAGTTTTGACTGTACTATGTTTCACCCCTACAGCTGAAATTGGACAATAAGCAAGAAACAGTCAAAAATGACTAATTTTGATTTATATAGTCTATTGGGTAATAATTAGTGGTAGACAGTTTACAAAATTACTCAAAAGTCTATATCAAAAAGAGTTAGTCATTTTTGACTGTTTCTGGCTTTTCGCCCAATTTCTTTTTGATATAGACTATTGTCACCAACTAGTGTAAACTGTCACCAACTAGTGTAAACTGTCACCAACTAGTGTAAACTGTCACCAACTAGTGTTAACTGTCAGCCACTAGTGTTAACTGTCACCCACTAGTGTAAACTGTCACCCACTAGTGTAAACTGTCTACCACTAGTGTAAACTGTCTACCACTAGTGTAAATTGTTACCTGACTCGCTATATAAATGCATATTAATCAATTGCGACTGTTTCCCAGACAATTCACCAAACAAACTATAGCTAATGTGCGCTACCGTAAAACTGTTGACTGGGCACGTGAAACTGTTGACTGGTCACATGCAACTGTTGACTGGTCACATGTTAGGGATTCGAACGCACTTATAATTACAAGCATCCCGATGACCAAGCGTTTTTGGTACTGGATTGTTGACGGTTGTCTGTCAGTGGAAGGGTTACATTAATGGATAGGGTTACATTAATGGGTAGGGTTACATTAATGGGTAGGGTTAAACTACTGACCATGGAAAGGGTTACATTAATAGGTAGAGTTACACTACTGACCATGGATAGGGTTACACAAATGGGTAGAGTTAAACTACTGACCATGGATAGGGTAACATTAATGGGTAGGGTTACATTAATGGGTAGGGTTAAACTACTAACCATGGATAGGGTTACATTAATGGATAGAGTTACATTAATGGGTAGGGTTACACTACTGACCATGGATAGGGTTACATTAATGGGTAGGGTTACATTAATGGATTGGGTTACACTACTGACCATGGATAGGGTTACATTCATGGATAGGGTTACATTAATGGGTAAAGTTAAACTACTGACCATGGATAGGGTTACAATAATGGGTAGGGTTACACTACTGACCATGGATAGGGTTACATTAATGGATAGGGTTACATTAATGGGTAGGGTTAAACTACTGACCATGGATAGGGTTACATTAATGGGTAGAGTTACAATAATGGCCATGGATTACATTAATGGGTAGGGCTACACTACTGACCATGGATAGGTTTACATTAATGGGTAGGGTTACACTACTTACCATGGATAGGGTTACACTACTTACCATGGATAGGGTTACATTAAGTGGTAGGGTTACATGAATGGGTAGGGTAAGATTAATGGGTAGGGTAAGATTAATGGGTAGGGTACACTACTGACCATGGATATGTTTAGATTAATGGGTAGGGTTACACTACTGACCATGGATAGGGTTACATCAATGGGTAGGGTTACACTAATGGGTAGGGATACACTGATAGGCGTTACCTATAAAGCAAGCTTCAAATCCCCAAATGATCATAGGGAAAGCGTTCATCAATAGCAAACGATGCTTATTGTAGAACCGTTTAGAACTGTCCACACAGAGCACAGTAACATCGGTCTATATTTTCTATGTTGCTTTGGTTCACCAGTTATATCACTAGTTTTAGATCGTGAAAGTAATTGTTTAATATTCAGTGTCACGTCTTAAAACTTCTAATCATTTACAATTACAAATTTAAATTAATGTTAAAACAATTTAAGCAGAGTGCAAAACGAAATTTAGCAAATCATTTAATATATTTCATTAGTCTATATACATATTGATTTTGATAGCATGGTTTGTTATAATTACATATTTTCTTTTCTTTCTTTCAGGAAAGTGTTGAGGAATCCATCCTATGTCGTTAGAAAAAATAAGGATTAATACTTCAATATTCTAGGGGAATATTTCACACCAGGTGTAAATCTGTGAGACATCCAGGTGTAAATCTGTGAGACATCCAGGTGTAAATCTGTGAGACAACCAGGTGTAAATCTGTGACACAACCAGGTGTAAATCTGTGAGACAACCAGGTGTAAATCTGTGAGACAACCAGGTCTAAATCTGTGAGACAACCAGGTGTAAATATGTGAGACAACCAGGTCTAAATCTGTGAAACAACCAGGTGTAAATCTGTGAAACAACCAGGTCTAAATCTGTGACACAAGCCTGTGGTAAAACCTCCAACGTGTTCATCAAAGTCGATGCTGATTCCTATAGTGTCTGTTCCACTACTGAAACAGTACGTTGATCGGAACACTAATGTAACGCGGTATAGTATATACATCTACATACTTTTCTTCTCACTCTGATAGTGTGTACATTGTCATTTTCTGAGGAAATATCAGGAAATGCAGGAGACAACGCATGATGTCACTGACCAGTCTGTTATAACCTCTGGTCACGTGCTTTATAACGTGACAACCGAGGGCGGCAATGACACTGACCAACAGGACGGAGAGAGCCACTATTACTTCCAGGTAAGTCACTGAGTTGGAAGGGTAATAATCTGTGTAACGTAAGTAGGAGTTGGTGACATACGAGTTTTGTGTTTTATTGTTGTATCAAGTTGTACAGACAAGTGACAATTAAGACCTCATACGTCATACATAAGTCCTAATAGTCTGATAAAAACACAAACAGGTAAGACATATAATGTCTGACAAGTAAGATGTATAAGGTCGTAGAGGGAACCCTAAAAAGTTATTGTATTGGTCCCAGGCTCCAAAAACTGACCAATCGCAAGGCTGATATACGAACTGTATTTTGAAATTATCAAAGCCCGGCTAGAGTCTGAAGCTGGTTCCTAGTTTCTAGTTCCGTTTAAGAAACAAGGAACTGGGAACCAGATCTTAGTTCCGTTTAAATATTGAAATAACACCATCAATAGAACTTAGACAAAGATACATCATAAGCATACCCTTATAATCCACTGGGAACTCCATTTACGTTCTCTTAATCGGAACTGGGAACTAGAACCCAGTTCCGTATAGTGGGCGTATATGGTTTTGTAATTATTTCCCTCTACCTCGCAAAACGCAAGTTTGAAGGCGCATAGAAATATCTAAATCCAGTACAGAAATTGAACCCACAACCTTGCCGACAAGGTTTAAGACTATCATAGCCTCTATAAAGGAATTGGTCTTAAATGGAACTGAAATCCAAACTCCAGTTACGTTTTTCTTAAGGCAGTGTTTAGGCATGCTGCTGAACGAGTTCTGGGCCTGTATTTATGAAACCGTTCTCATGCTCAAGCATGGATTCTGTGCTCAAATCTTGACAAACGATCAGAAAGTCAAATGTAAACAATGAAAACAGTTTTCGGCTTTAACTGAAAAAAAAAAGTCTAGCAATAGACATCTTTTTTCAGAAACGTATATATTCATGAGCAATATATTATTATATATTTGAATTTTCCGGTGTTTAATTTTGGAATACAATTTCATTGGTCAAGTCTAAACCACGTGATAGCTGACCCCTGTTTCAGCAGGTGATCCCCGCAGGGGGACAGAAAATTTTGCAACCGCACGCCGTCTTTGCTTTTCTGAACGATAAACAAAATATACAAGTAATTTGACCTTTTATACGGCAGAAGTTTTCTAAGCATCATCCCGAACACAAGGATACGCATCTTGGACTTTTGTTGAGTCATCATCAATGTTTGTTTACATTTGATCACGCCCGCACGTGTTTCAGTGAACCATGTCTGACAATGTCACGGCGCCCCGAAGGAAAGTTTTGGTGTTGGGCCATAGCTTCATAACTCGACTTTCGAGGTACGCTAATGAACTGCTCTCGCGTGCGAATTTTGGGCTTCATCATGACGTTGTTGAATATCACAGTTTTTCCATGAGCTGGTATCAATCGGATATACAGAGAGTTTTCTCGTAGATTCCGTGGGTCAGGTTTTGACGTTGTTTGTTTACAATGCGATGGCAATAATTTGAGCTGCCCCTCGGCAGACCCAGACACGGTCGTACGGGAGTTTTGTACATTTGTTGACTGGTTGGTACAATCATGTGGTGTTCAAACGGTTGCAGTATGCAAATTGTTTTTCCGGGCATCAACGCGAGCCCACAAGGGTGACGTCTCAGTTCATGTTTACAACGAGCGGGTTTCACGGGTTAATACTTTCCTAGCACAACGTTTGTGTTGTCCTCAGACTATTTTCTAGGACCATCGGCGGTCGATTTGGGACGTATTTTCCTTGTTAAATGCGGACGGCGTCCACGATAACGGGAACAATAAATTCGGCTTCAGCACAAATTCCATACTTGAGCATGAGAACGGTTTCATGAATACGGGCCCTGAGGTTTGCAGGGCTCCGTGACAATTTCCTAGACTAGTCAGCATAAGGTGGCATGTACAAGGGCTTTGATTCTAAATGAGAAAGATTGAGGTTGGAACCCTTTAAAATCGGACATTCTCGTACAGATATTACAAGGCAGTGACTTCATATGGATTTGAACATGAACATTGACTTGTCTGAATAGGATCCCTACATTTCTGTTCGTTTTCGACCCGGACAGACTGAGGTAGTTACTCCGAATCCCTCTCCTTGTCTACAGTTCTATATCCCAAGATAACAGTCCATCTTGCTTGTATTGTACCGACACTATCGGGTTTCGTACATTATATAGTTCCTTGGTAAGTTCTTAGATGGTTTCATTTGCCAAATAATATTTTTATGAGTCAATATTATGTTCGCCCACAAATATTGGCATTTGTGTATGTGTCAATCTATTTTGCCCCTTATGTACTCCGTATTGTTTACGCCATCAACTAATCTTCGCATAATCTTCAAGTTGTTGTCCATGTTGTTGACAGCGTTCGAAAGGTCATTGTCGTAAAATAGAACAGAATGGATCGCTGTACACATTTTCGGGAACACCAATGGTGACGTAACGGGGACGCCACTGGTGACGTAAAGTGACGTAACGGGGACACCACTGGTGACGTAACGGGACGCCACTAGTGACGTAACGGGGACGCCACTGTTGACGTAACGGGACGCCACTAGTGACGTAACGGGGACGCCACTGTTGACGTAACGGGACGCCACTAGTGACGTAACGGGGACACCACTGGTAACGTAACGGGGACCCCACAAGTGACGTAACGCGTATTTCATTCTTTGCCGTTATTCACGGCGTCATGGCTTGCAGGAAATCTTCGCTACAGCTACCGACTAGCCCAGAGTAACCGCACTACTATTTTTTGTGTAGCCATACATAAGGCTATGTAGGCGAGATAAAAATCAAGATAAGTGTTGTCTTTATAGATTATCACACTGTATTTTCAGGGTTTGTCGTGAGAACAATTTTCTCATCGAGAGCACGTGGATAAAAGCGAAGGGCCACCGCAGGTGGACTCGAGATTTTATCTTCATGCAATCGATGAGAAAATTGTTCGAAAGACAAACACTGAAAATACTGTGTCAACTAAACACCATGTTTTTCAAATGACTTCTAAGCTCAATGGTCAACGATCGCCTGTGACAAACGTAAACAAATATGTTTATGGCAGACTATTTCCTACGCGAATCACTTTTTTGTGGACACTATTTCCGGTTTCGGACGTCATCTGGCGCGAGCAGACGTTCTTTTTTGCTGGGAAATGGGAAAATCCGTTCTCAAGTTCTTTTCAAGTCGTTCTCAACTTCTTCTCGTACTGAAAACCAATGATAATGAATTATCACGCTATCGGTAGGTGGTATAAAGTAGTATATAGATGATAAACTTGCTTACCCGATCGAGAGCTTTTGTGCAGATTTCCAAGGATTCTGATAGATATATCATCTGTTTAGTATACAGACTAGCCACGCTGATGACGAGTGGACCCATTGTCTCGAGATGATTTGGCTTAGTAGAGTTATTAGAGACCTTTAACTGATAGGTCGGTAGTATCAAGGTTTTTTTTTGTTTGGGGGAGGGGGTTAGGACGGGGGACAGATGACAGGAAGTGCGTGTGTGTGTGTGTGTGTGTGTGTGTGTGTGTGGGGGGGGTCTGCCTTTTAAAAATAAACAGAGGAGTGTCCTCTTCCCACGATTTTGTTTGGTCAGAATGTTTTGCAGATAAAAAAAAAGATGTAATTGATTGGATTCTTCGGTCAAAGGGTTATTTTTATTACTTTGTTGTTTTTTATCACTTCTGCTGATTTGATTGCTTCTGTTTTTTATTACTTCTGTTGTTTTTATTAATTCTATTTTTTTTTTTATTAATTCTGCTGTTTTTTATTACTTCTGGTTTTTTTTATTTATTCTGGTTTTTTTTATTACAACTGCTGTTTTTCATTACTTCTGTTGTTTTCGATTACCCACTTTTATATTGAAAATAATATCAATAATATAAAATATGAAAATGTATTGGCAAAGAGAGTATGAATACCTTTCTAATACAGCTTTTTAATTTCCGAATTGTTAGACGATACTTAATGCTACTACAGCTTTCTGAAATGAAACGGTTATTTTAAGTCCGTTTTTAAAACCAGCAGAATCTTGTAGTTTTTCTGAGGAATCGACTCACTTGACACTGCTAAATCACCACACCATCTCCTGGTCACATCCCACTGTCCTGTATTGCCAGCAGTTTGATTGATTTCATTGAGAGTTTGGCATTTACTGTCTTCACGGGAAGTGTATGCATTCAAGGTTATTTTATGACAGATGCGAAACCTGTTCTCATTGTAGCTATACCATCAGCAGAGACAATCAAAAGTCTGTAGTCAGTTTAATGGTATGGCATTGCTCTTTGATTGTTCCTCTTGGGAAGATAAGTTTAAACACAGCTTGTGTTAATCAATGTCTTCTAATGGTTGTAAAATGAGCAAGAATGTTTTTTGTCTTTATTTGGTTGCATGAATGCCGCTGAATTACTCCATTATGAACATTGGTACGCTGATCGGAATACTGTTTCGGAATGTCTGCGTGAGAATGTTTCTATAATGTAAATATTATTTGTCATTGATAGAGGCACGTGAATAAGTAGAGTCGAGATGACTTGATTTCACCATTTTATTACAAAGTATGATAATTCATTCAACCGTCTAAATAATCCTTACACTAATATCTAAATAACGATATCAAAACAATGCAGAACGATACGAGTGTATGCTAGCAAAGTCAATCATTGTCCACGTTAGACCTAACCCTGGCCTATATTCGTCCACGTTAGACTTTAGCCTGGCCTGTCGTCGTCCACGCTAGACTTAAGCCTGGACTATCGTCGTCAACGTTACACTTAAGCCTGGACTATCGTTGTCCACATTACACTTAAGCCTGGACTATCGTCGTCCACGTTACACTTAAGCCTAAACAACTATCGTCGTCCACGTTACACTTAAGCCTGGACTATCGTCGTCCACGTTACACTTGAGCCTAGATTATTACACCTCTACTTTATTTACTCTATATAAAAGTAATTGGTTAAATCGAATATATCCCCACTTTTGCCTGAGTGTGTTTTAGTCCTGTGTGTTAGT